CCTGGCCAGGAACTGTCTTGGTGTCCGTGGCACACGATCGGGCCCCCCAGACTCACTGACATATGACATCGGATGGATGCATGTGAATGATGTGGGTCTTCCCGCGCGTGCATGAGCTTTACGCTCGCCACGGCTCCACCAGGATGGTTCCTGGTCGCGCGCGCGCGAAGAGAATAGAATAGCTATGAAATCATTTTTTTCATCCAATCACGATTTATTTGAAAGAGAAAGAGAACAAAAAAATAAAATTCATCATCGTATTGAATTTCATTCGATATTAAATTTTTGTACTCGATGATTGCCCCTATCGACGACATAGAGATTACCATGTCGATCGAATGATAAACCTATGGGACGATCGAGTTGATTCGACTGTGCTCCTCTACCGTTTCCACCAATAATGACACTTCCTTGTTTGGCTCCTTTTGGCCAACGCATGATTCGATGATTCCCAAAATCAGCCACATAGACAGTACCCAATTGATCGACAACGACTCCATAAGGATAATTCAATTGTGTAAGACTATTTCCATTTCCTTGACCACCGGCTACGACAATACCTTGTTTTGCACCTCCTTCCCATTTCATTACACGATGATTTTTATAATCAGACACATAAACTGAATGATCTCGATCGACAAATACGTAGGTGGGCTTAGAGAGTTGATCGAGACGATTTCCTTGTCCATTACCACCTGCAACTACTATTCCTTGAGTGTCACCAATTTTATATCGTCTCACTTCATGTTTTTCGTAGTCACGGCCATAGAGAGAACCATTGTCGTCCATTGTCAAACCTCCGAAAGAGATATTTGAAATAATTGTTTCTCCACGAGTACCATTTCGACGAGGCCATCGAACTACTCTTCTATTCCATCTATCGCTGATGATGAGACTATCGCTCTCTTTGTCGATAATCACATCTAATGGGTGATTTAACTGATGAGCTTCATGTCCTTGTCCATTTCCACCAGCAACTACTTTTCCATTCGTTGCACCAGAATTCCATTCCACAATACGATCATTCTGCTCATCAGTGACATAAATCGTTTGATCATCGTCGACGTACAAACCCCATGGGTTATAAAGTTGATTGGTTTCCCTGCCCGATCCATTTCCTCCAGCAACAGTGATACCATTCTGTGCCCATTTTGCATTCGGATGAATATCAATGAAACTTGCACGTAGTGGGACTGAAACGAAATGAAAGTAAGGAGTAGAAATAAACATCAATTTCATTGAAATGAATCATTCTCATTTGTTTTAAACAGTATTGAACTGCTCTCAATTACAAAAGCTTTTTACTTATGAACTTGATTCGAATCTGGTTTTTCTCAATGTTGAAAATAAATATTATTGACGTTTTCAAATATTTTGAAACTAACTAAAATTTAACTGATAATGTGAAAAATTGTGATTAACTCGAATTTTATCGTAAATGAAATTTTCTTTTATATCGAATTTTTCAATATATTCACTGATTTCGTTAGTTCGAGTTTGAAATATATTTAAAAATT